GCCTCCAGAGCAGTGTTTTGCTTTTCTTTCAGTGAAGAAATACAGTGTAATTCCGATAAAACTTGCTCAACAGCCACGCTAACACTAGTTTCATCGGCTGAAGCCGCCATGTTCTTTAGACTGAACTGTCGCGCTTCTTGTTGCGTCACACCTCAACCCGCCTCAAAGCCAACGCTTATTGGACATTCGTTTGGTGTACGGCTCCAAATTTTCTTTAACGGAGAGTCTCCAGACTGATCTGTGAGTGAAACCTTGAAAGCTCGTGAGATCAGGATGGTCTCACGAGGCTAGCTAGAAGGCTCTGTGGTGTATACCCAGCCAGTTCTTGCTCTATCCCTGTTGAGCTGTATCACTATACCCTGAGTACAGATTGGTATAACATTGTTAAAATCTTGATTAGATCTAATTTTGTTTTCAGAGTTTTTGACATGGGATATTGGTAGATATTTGAGAATTTTCTTTCTTCATTACCACATACCATTAGTTCTCTTTAATGTTTTTTTTTCTGCACCTATCCAGCAATCTTTGTCAGTTCTATTGGCTCGCACTGCAGCAATCTGTAGACGGAGCTGTGATGTTTCAAAGCACCTGGAGCTCCATCCTTCTCAGAACATGACTAGTCAGCAATCAAAGGCCCACCTGCTGTTCTTCTGGGATGGTCTAGTCTTTTGTTGTCTAAGGATTTTTTGTTTGGCTTTTTGAATCATAATGAATGTTTTTGTGTAAATTACTTGGAACGTGTGTCATGGCTGAATGGTTGATGCTTAGAAGCTTAACTTGTTCTGTCTTTGGAATAAACAAGTTTTTGTCTGTCTGTAGTTATATTAGATATAGATGGATGTCAAAACATCTTTGGAAAAACTGACTGAAAGTCTGGTTGCTTTAGATATAAGCCTATTTTTTGGTTGCCATGACCCGGATGATTAAGAAATTACACTGGATTCTTTATTTATAGCATGATAAGGTTGATCTTTATCATAAAATGGTAATGGTCCTTGACCTGGAGATTTTCTCAGTGGCAGGAGCTGAGGTAATATTTTATATTTGTGTATTTTTTCAGGGAACTTATTATTGTTGTTTGTTTTTATGGTATAACACTTCATACTTCATAAAATTGCCTCTCTTTCACTTCTTTATTTGGACTTCTCTATTAGTTTCACTTCTAGCCTTCTAGCTTATTTTTTCTCTCTTTTTACACATGAAATTATTAAATTTATGAGATTAAACCAAATTACATGCTTAGTGGTTTGATGATATCACTTAAAACTCAGCGGCGCTTAGTTAGAAGAACATGGGGCAATTGAGGGTTTTATCTCATTTTCATCATCATCAGTTAAAAAAAAAACAAATCTGTAAAACTCGAGACAGATTGAAATAAACTTGAACAATTTTTTTGACTGGATTTGTTTTCTATACCTATAAAAAATGCTGACTCTGCTTTTATGTAAAGCAATAAGGGACAGCTGACTGGTTCCTGCAGACCCCCTCAGATCATTTTATGGGTAAAAAGATTTCCAGCTGTTACCTCATGCAGCCAATGCCTACTTCAGGCTGAAATCTCTCCCTGAGGTGTGCTGGAAAGCCCTGTCCATAATGTCCCGGCCACTCATTAAACTATTCTCTCACTCAAAAATGTGAATCCCCTGTTCACTCATCTGTCTTTGTGTCAGGCTGTCAGGCCTCTCCGCACACACCTTTAATCATCTGTCCATTAGGAAGCCCTCTGTTTTCTCAAGTTATTAGATTGATAACTGGGTATAGAGAGGCGCCATTACAGGGATAATGTGGGAGCATCATGTGAGCCTCTCTGGATCCTCTGATCTAAGTGTCCTCCTGTAATGCTACGTTCAGGGCGGCTTTGTGAAGCAGCTACGCCTCAGGCAGCCTTTCACACAAAAGACAGGACAGAAATCCTTTCAAAACTTCCCTCAATCGAGTCATTTTTATTCAACACGATAACATTCGCTGGGAAGACTATTTGATATTCTTTAAAAGTACCCAACGAAAGAGCTTTTATTGAAATTCAATAACACCTAATTAATCCCAAAGGGATGTTGAATTATATTATTTAACTGAAGGAGTTTTAAAAAAAAAACATTTCCAAAAAAAATATTTCCAAAATTTGTAATGACGGCTATGCTACGGAAGCTGGCGGGAAAACCAGTATTTGACTAATCTTTATTAAGGAAACGTTTTTTAAGTTTCATTTTAAGTCGAAATACGTCTAATAATCCTATTTAATCCTCTAATTTATTTTTCAATTTGTTATTTTCATAATTATTAATCTCTTATTAAAAAGCTGCAACTTAATCTGTATTTCAAAAATAAGTTAGACTACATTTTAATATGTTCTGTCAAAAAAAAGGAACTTATTCTTAAATCACGTAGAACACAACTTTCTTTGTGTAAATTAGATTTAAATTTCTAAAATGTTCAAGTTTTAAAAAATAACTTCAACTTTAAAGAAATGGAGGCTGTTTTATTCAAAATTAAAAGAACACTGTCTACAATATTGGCTTTGTCCCTTTATACTGTATTCTAAATAATGTTTTTTCTGCGTCTGTTATTCTTTAGTTTTGTACGGAAGCCCAGAGTGGTTTGTCCCTTTGATACTTTTTCACGATGGTTTTCTCAAGAAAACAAGTTACAATAATTTCCCCATTATCTAAAGATAACGGAAGCCGCTTTCTGGTGATAACGAGACGATAACCTTTTTTTATTAGAAAACCTATTTCTCGTCATAAGGAGATGATTAGTGTGTGCTACAACTGATTCAGTGTATTCTCATTATCAGTTCGTATGAAATCGTACGAAAAGTTATGCACAGTATTTCGTACGTTTTTGACGTTTTTTTCGTCCTATTTTTACGTCTTGCCTCAAGACAAGATATCCGTGCGCATCTTACGCACCATTCAATAACATAAAATTTAACATACAATTAACCCTAACCCTAACATACAAAACAGCAAGCAACCTAGTGAGAGACATCATGAAGTAATTATTGCACTGTCCGTCCCAGTTTTACGTCCGTCCACGGATCAGCTTTTTTCGTCTGTCTGGCTGCGCATTGATATGTTTTTTCGAGGAAAAACGTCAAAAACGTACGAAATACTGTGCATAACTTTTCGTACGATTTCATAAGAACTGATAATGAGAATATGTTGACTGATTACATCCTTCAATACCACAACAGTAAGAGTGGATTTAGAAGTATAAATCCTGGCAGACCATGAGTAATTCTGTAAATAATCCCATGTTTAACTTTTAGGTAACAAGAACACTGTGCTGGTTTGAGGATTTGCTTTCACTTTTGATTCACAAGCAATTAGACCTCCGGGTGTTTTCTGAAAAGCCCTGGTGGTACGCCTGTAACAGGAATAAGATGGATAAACCCCCGAAATGAGTCCAGATTAAAGATTTTCATTAAAAGTCAGATTTGTTTCTATTGTATTCCATGCAATCCAATCATCCACCAAGACCTAACAATGATTGAAAAGAAAAAGGAAACTAAATAAACAGATTATCTGCGCACACACGGTACCACGACTGCACAACACCGGGCCCCCTCAAGCATGGATGGACTGGGAATCCAGGGCCGTTGGCCTGCCTCATTCATTACTCATACAGGTTAATCATCTCGTCATCTCAAGAAATCACTCACCGTTTTCTCGTAATAATGAGATAATTATCTTGTTACCTTGAGAAAAAAAAAAATGGTTTAACCGTGATAACGAGATAGTTATTTCATTATCTCGAGAAGACAAAGAAAAAAAAAAAAGAAAGTCCAGTACGACTCTTGGCTCCCATAAGTTCTGCGTCTCGTTGAGAAAACACTAATGCATCAGATTGTGTGAGAATCTGTACTTTTGCCCCAATCAGAGCCTGGAGCGTTTTAAAATCCCATGATTAAAGGCGTGAGAAATGTGTCGACCACGTCTAACGGTCTCCTCAGACCAATTTAGTGTGTCAGACTCAGAAGTTCTCAAGGCTTTCTTAGAAATGTCATGATCTCATGAAGCGGGAGACTCTTACCTCCATAATGAACTCTCAGTCACACTGTTGAGGTTGAAGTCAAAGAGTTTGGTTAACATCAGAATGACCTGCAAGAAGAAAAAAAAAAGACGGCATACCGTTAGGTCCTAAATCTGATGATTCGATATTAATTTTTAGGAATGATGAGATGAATGAAAAAGAAACACATCACGGAAGGAAGAAAATGTGGTTAGAAGAGTTAGATTTCAAACTCTTGCGTCGTTTTTTTTTTTTTTTTTTTTTAAAGGTGTTTTATTCATCCTGCAGAGCCCCTCAGCTCAGTATCCTGATGCCTTCCAAGCAGAAAGACAGACAGATTTCATTTTGCTTTATATTCTTCATTTATCTCAAGCCGTTTCTCACCTGAATAAAATTTGCTGATGTTATCCATCAGGTTTATGGCCTGTAAATCCATAAAGGGTCTTATCTCAATTGCTTTATGATGACAGGAATTTGTGTTTTGCTCCAACTTACAGGAACATTTTCCATCGACTTTACATCCATTTGATGTGAAATGACTGGATGCAGTCAGCTGCTTTTACTCAGAAACTTTTTAAATAATCGGACTCTATGATCTGATTGAAGTGTCTGTAAAAAGAATTGAGATGATGTGTTGTGAATTGGTACTATAGAAAAAAATTGCATTGAACTGGACTGATTGACATTTAACACGATTTCCAGTAAGGATGTCTTGAAAACAAGCTTTGTTCTTTAAAAATATTCAATATTAAAAATAACATTTTGACACCAGTCCAAATAATCCCTGATCTGTGCTGCCATTATTGCTTTTTCTTTCTCTACTCATAGATTTATGAGAACAATGACACAATGATAGCAAACGTTATACAACTTTTAATAAAAAAAAAAAAAAAAACATTTTGTGGCAAATCATACTGACTTAATAATGTATAGAATCTGTAGGAGGCCCGAATTAATAAACTTTTTACATGACATGAAGACATTTTCTGGCGTCTCCTCGACCCCAAACCCAGCTTCAATCATCTCAACAGTTGAACAAGGAAACGTCTTCAGCAATAAATCCAATATTGCAATAAAATAAATTACAATTTATTTAAAATAACTAAAAATACCACCTTTAGAATGCAGTTATTTTACATGTAGATGTTTATTGTACAGAAAATCTCTCAAACTTGGTAATTTATTCAGTTCCAATCTACTGTCCATTTTTTCCTTTTCTACGGTGGATCCACATCCAGACATTGATTAATTTTCCTTTTTATAGCTTTGGGTTCAAATAAACATTTTTTCCTCCACATTTTAGTTTTTAAGGTAACAGAAACTAAAATAGCAAACTTTAAATTTAGGTGTTAAGATTATATTAAAGTCACCATATATAAACATTAGTGAATTAATCTGTTTGAATAGTGTGGAAGGATGCAGGAAAACCGGTGAGATCGTCTGAGAAAAAACACAAGGAGCAGCAGTTGCTCTTCTGGTCTCAGTCAATATCGCCTGTTGGGGTGTCACGGTTCACTCTCTAAGTCTTTAAAGAGGACAGAAGAGGAAGGAAGAGGTTTTCAGCTCCCTTACAGCCTGGGGCCTGAAGCTGCTCATGAATCTGCTGCTTCAGGTCTGATGTCTGCAGAATCGACTCTCTGAAGCAGCCAATAGTGGATCACACACCAGCCGAGATAGATGTGTGCGCATCACACAGTCTGGACCGAAAAAAAAATCTGTAGCGAGAGCAGCGGAGGAAAATTCTGGATCAAATCTCGGCTGAATTTGCAGGAAAATTAAGGTTTTTTAAATTGGAACACTTGTTATTATTTCTGATTAATTCTATCAACATTCAGGAGCAAAATGTCCAGTTCTATAAATTAAAGATCTACTGATTCTCCAACATTAAAAAGAAAACAAAACTCTGCAGCAAAACAAGTGTTTTTAAATACTTTCTCGGTAGATTGTCCCTTAATTAATAAACAAATAAGTTCATTGGCTGAAGGAAGCAGCTAAAAGCTGATAGTGGACTAGACCTGCCTTCAGCTTACACTAACACACTGCAGTGGGTTAATAATTACAAGTTATTTCACAACATTAAATACTGATGAACTGGAGGAATAATTTAGACTTGGAATTAGAGTTTTGATTTTACCGAAAAATGTCGTATTTCTCTGCTTTGGATTTTTTCAGTCTATTTTAATCAATTAAAATATTAAAGGTATTTATTAAAAACGGGAAAAATTATAGGTTTGTTTATTAAAGTAATATACATGTACAGGGGAAATTCCTATAAACTATATATTTTCATGGATTGTTGAGAGTTTATAAATTAACTATATGATTATTTAGTTTCTAACATTAAGTATGTAGTATTCTCAGTTAATAGAACAGAGCAGGTTATCAGTAATATGAATAAATATACTCCACCAATCCACAACTAATAAAAATACCAATATGAATGTGGCTGGCTGGAAGTAAATAACTGATATAATCTAAAGCTCTTCTTATGTCTCTCTCTCCTAAAAAACACAAATATCAGCTTCCTTCTAAAGTTCACACCATAAAATATAATTTTTTTTCTTGTGAATCTCAGTATTTTAGATTCTTATCACTGAAATATTTTCTAAAAAACTTTTTTCTCTCTTTTTAACCTGTTAAATTGTTTAACATTGTTAGAATTCTTGTTCAAAGATTTTCCATTTCTTTGCTTCACTTACAGTAAAACTAAACCTTTTTCATTTTTTTTGCATTTAAAAAAACACAAACCTCTTAAAAATCAGGGTATAAACTAATAAACTACCTCTGAATTTTTGCTGGTTAATTTTATTTGTTTCTGGCCTTGAACAGAATCTGCAGGGTTTGTAAAGTCCATGAAGCATGCATTTTTTAGTATTTTTCATGGATGCATAATGAGTTGAGCTCGATATCCAGCATAATTAATTTGCCCGACTTATAGTAGTTTTATAATCGTTGCCCCTGACCTACACATAATAATTCAAATTATTAATGAGCAGTACTTAAGTGTGCAGTGATTCGTAATCCAATATATACTATTCTTTTATTAGAATCGTCAAGATTTTTCATAGTTTATTTTTGTACATATTTTAAATGACTAAGAATTATATATATATATATATATATATATATATATATATATATA